TCTACGTATTTCAGATCTATAAAAAGCCGTGTCTTAAGATAACGCTTATATAGAGCAGTTTTCTTATGACTGAAAAGCAAACGGCACGAACATGGTTGTGACGCGACAAGAGATACGCCAGACCAATCACATTACTCGAGAATTTAATTACTCTCCATCCAATCAAATACCCGAAACGCACGGTACAATCACATTGCGCGAAAAAAAAAGCCAATTGAAATATTAGAAAACATCACGGTCACGGCACGGCACGCTTACGACACTGAGCTTTTCACAGACATGCAAAAACTACTATATGTAATTCCCTTGAGTATTATTTTGTTCTTTTATAGGGACTAAATAAATTAAATGAATTTCACCCAAAATTTGTCAAATGAAAACATATAAGAAATTATATGCCAGTTTCAATTGTACCATGCACATCACTCAAGCATGCAGACACGTGCATAAAGTGAATGCTTATCAGAGGCCAGGGGGCGTCTTTCCCTAAAAATCGTCAGGCAAAATTCCAATTCAACCTGAGAGTTAGCTGTGCCCTGACTCTGATCACCACAATAGTTGTTTTTGGTTTTGGTTTTGTTTTGGCTTTGTTTTTGGTTTTGTTAATTTCGTTAATTCGTCAAAAAAATTATCGGAGATGCTATTTTCTGTACGTGCTTTCAAGGTGTCTGCAAAGTAAGTGTGAGAAAAATCCGGCACCATGCTAAGTAGCTTCCTCCCAAATCAACCACTGCTTATYTGAGCACGTGTGCAATGCCTTTATGAAGTATCTAAGCCTTACTCTTTAGCATCTTGACCGCACACGTCAGTGATCCATTTTCCTGCTCTAAAACTCCTTTCCTAACTAATCCAAACTGACCAGCACCGAGGGTGTCGCCAAGAATTAGTATTTCTCGCGGGATTTCCAACCATTTACCCGGCATCAGCTCGAGGGAATCAACGTCCACGGAAGAAAGGGCACTAAAGGCGTCGTTACGGTAGGAGTGGGCGGTTATGTTTTTAGGATCTTCATTGCACTAAATAAGATATGGAAGTGAAAGACAAATTAATGGTATTATTTGCATATACCCAGGTGAAATCAAGAAAAGATTGATTATTCCCATCACTAATATTAAACTTTCACTCAACCTAATAGCTCATTAAAAATATGATAGAGGCAATTGAACTGGAATTTTATAGATGATTGTCAGAAAAGTCTTATGGTTCTTATCTCATTAATTTCTAATGGTCAAATACTCCATCCCTAAAGCTGAGGGTTGTTCTCATATATTGATTATGTTCCATGATGAATGAGGGATCTGCCTTAAGGCGTTTTTCATGTTTATGTCAACAAGACAACTCCAGACTCCAGGTTTTCCTACCGGGATGGGTGCTCTTCTCTGGTCAGTTCTGTTGCCATTGGCATCATGTCGATGATCTATTTGCTTTTTTCTGTAGTGGTACACCAAGAAGGCCAAAATCCCGAGAACCAGGAGCAGAGCGAGTCCTACCCACAACCATGTGAGATTTAATTGGAGCTCTGAAATAAGATGTGAACATTCTTATCATGAATTTAAAACAGTCTCAGTCTCAAAAGTCATTTTGTAATGGGGAGAAAAAGTAAATAGAAACATAAATTAGTCCCTTTAACTTTGGATGTAGTATTTTCCCATCTTTCTCTATGTGCCATTTTCAATTCTTATGAAGGATCTCTTTAATTGCCAGCAACACTTTAGAATATATATATTTACGTAGACAATAGTACAACATACAATTCGATTCACCAATGATTTGAAAAGGGTCTATTGCATTTAGACAATATATTTTCTATTAGTGTCTTTCGGATATCCATTTGCGCATCGATCAGGATACAGGTCACCTTTTGATTCAAATATAATATATCTAAATATCTAAATATTAAATCTAATACGTGCACCTTTTGTTTTGAATTYCTCAATATCACTGTCCAACCCTTTACCACCGTCACCTCTAGCAAACACCTTCACAGTATAGCGTGTGTCGTCTTCAAGTTCCTCTATTCTCGAATCCAACTGAATATGCTGTGTTGTGACTTTCTCTTGCCATGCTTGTCCAAACTTCTTCAGTGCGATGGTGTAGCTGTGGATAGAAAATACGTCTGCATCTTCGGGTTGCAGCCATTTCAGATGCGCCAAAGTTTCGTGTATTTCTGTTAAAGTCAGGTTAAGAGGAGAGGGAGGCGGAGCTACAAGAAACAAGAAAACCGATGTTGAAAAAAACATGTTGCTTCTATGATGTGTAATTGTCAGATCTAAAGTAAAATATCTGGGAATGGAGTGGAATGAAGAGACGGTGTGTGGGCTTACAGTATCACAATGTTATCAAAATTTGAGTGTCTCTCTTGATTTGTGGGTACGTTCTTTTAAAATTTGCTTCCATGTTACGTAATGCTCAATCAATGTCAAATTTCCAGGAATCGAGAGCAATACTTGGGATCGGGATTTGAGTCTCTCGATCTCCTGAATGAATGCCGTTATACGCAATATATGGTAAATGAATGTCCGGCAAATTCGCAGGAATCGAGGGGAATCAAGGTCACATTGTAGTGCACTTGCCTATCATAAGATTACACTGTGAACAGAATTTGAGTCTCTTTTGTTGATTAATAACCAGCCACGCCCCAATTCTATTGTTTTATGTAGGTTTTGAAACCCAGAGTAAGACCTACATTCTTAAAGCAGGGGAGAGCGGGGCTGAATTCAAAACCCGGGCCAGGTTTTGAATTTGAAATTCAAGACCTGTCCCATTAAAACAATAGAATTGGGGCATGGCTGGTTATTAAACCAGTTCAAAACTACGGGCTCGGACTTTCATTGAAATTCAAGACCTCGGGCGGCGCCCTCGGTCTTGAATTTCAATGAAAGCCCTCGCCCTATATTTTGAACCTTTATTTACAGGGTTCTTCTAAAGCTTCTCTGACAAGTAATGGTCAATCAATTTCAAGAATGTTCGAGAATCGAGAGGAAATCGAAAGACATCACATGTGGAGCACTCGCCTTTATTAATTCGAGTCTTCCCCTCGATTCGAGGGTCATGGCTGAAAAGCCCTGTCAAAGGGAGCCTCAATAAAGTATGTATGTATGTATGTACGTTTCTTTGAGGTTTTCCTTTTAGTATTTCTCAGCTGTATGTTCCTTCCTTACCCTGACCTAGGTTACCCGAAATGTTGTACCAAAGTTCAATGAAATGGGGATGCTTTTTTCCCCATTAAATCAACTTACCATCTGAAGTGATGGAGTTCTTTTTAATGAACAACCCTCCACCAATATTACCATCTGACGTTTGGACTTTCTTGATGATTCTAGTTGTCACATCCACTTTTGTTCTGGTTGGTTTGCCTAGCTGTTCTGCTTCTCCGACCTTGACTTCTACGATGACTCGAAATCTTACCTTCACGCTGCCATTTCTGAGGAACAAACGATTGAGAAAAGTAAGAAAACGCAAACCTYTGGAAATAAATCCTGCAAAATTTTTGGACTGTATATTATTCTGTTTTTCAATTTTACCTTTCAAATTAACATTATTTTTGGTAGCGCTTAATTTAGTG